TGTGAGGGGGTCGCCAAAATTGAAGGTGGAACCCCATGCGGGTGCTGCCACTGGAGCCTTCGGTGGAACTCCCTATGGCGCCACGAATCGTGTGAGCGGTGCACCGGAATAGCGGGTGGAACCGCACGCGGGCGCTGCCACTGGGGACGTAGGTGGAGCTCCCTATGGGGCTACGAAACGTGTGAGGGGTGCACCGGAATGGAGGGTGGAACCGCGTGGGAGCGCTGACAGCGGGGCCTTCGATGGAGCCCCTTGCCACGAAACATGTAAGGGGTGTGCCGACATGGGGGTGGAACTGTATGCGGACGCTGCCCCTGGGGCATTCGGTGGAGCTTCCCATGTGGTCACGAAGCGTGTGAAGGCTGCACTGAAATTGAAGGTGGAACCGCGTGCACGCTGCCACTTGGGCCAACGGTGGAGCTCCCTATCGGGCCACGAAATGTGTGAGAGGTGTGCCGACATGGAGGGTGAAACTGCAAGCGGGCGCTGCCACTGGGGACTTTGTTGGGGCTCCCCATGGGGCCACATATCGTGTGAGGGGTGCACCGAAATGGAAAGTGGACCTGCATGTGGGCGCTGCCACTGGGGCCTTAGGTGGAACTCCCTATGAGGCCACGAAACGTGTGAGAGATGTGCCGGAATGGAGGATGGAACTGCATGCAGGCGCTGTCACTGGGGCCTTCGGTGGGCCACGAAACGTGTGAGGGGTGTGCCGAAGTGGAGAGTGGAACCGCCTGCGCGCGCTGCCACTGGGGCCTGTGATGGAGCTCCCTGTGGGGTCACGAAATGGGTGAGGGGTGTGCCGAAACAGTAATACGCGGAGGGTAAAGGCAGGGATGGGATGGGAGGAGGAGGGGGGCGAGGGGGGAGCGGGAGGAGAACGCAGGGCGCTGTCTCTTCGAAATGAGGACCCAACACCACAGGATGGTTAGGATTGATGCCAACAAATAGTTAGTCTCGGATGGCCCATTGCTGTCTCCAGGGCGGCCCAGGATGAACCCACGACGCCCTAAGATGGCCTCGAAATTACCCAAGAGGACCCTGAGACGTTGCAAGTTGCTCCAAGAGGACCTTTAGGAGGTTCCCGGAGGCCCGATGTCATTGAATGTGATGATGTAGCTCAGTGGTGTTAGGGTTGTCGCGATGTCGGGTTTCTGCTAGCCTCATACGGCCCAAAAGGCCTCACGATGGCCCCAAGACGGCCCGCGATACCCCGGAAAGGGCCCCAGGGCAGTCCAAGATGGCATCCAGAACGGCTAACATGGTCCAAGAGAAATGCCAAGACGGCCAAAACGGTCTCCAAACGACGGTCTATAGATGGCCTCGACGGGCGGCCAGGATGGCCCTAGATGGCCTCCAATACGATTCAACAAGCCCTCCAAAACGGCCAAGATGGTCAAAGATGGCCTCAAGACGACCCAAGATGTCCCAAAGATGTATCCTCCTTCTCCTCGTCCTCGTTCTCCTCCTCCACCTCGTTCTCCTCCTCATCTTCCTCCTCCTCCTGTTCCTGCCACTCTTCCTTCCCCACGTGTTCCACGACGGGTTTCCACAACGCCTGGAGGAACACGTAGTCCGATAGCCTAGCCAGACCCTGTCACAACGTTTACCCACGGCACTTCCAAAAGGCAAGGGGCGGCGCCGGTTTGCAGGGGGCGTGCATACAGTGCGGGCGCGGCCGCAAGAAACCCTCGCCAGAAACCCAACCCTGAGAACCCGTGCGCGAGGTGCACCTGAGGGGAAGCCTGGAACACCCTGAACGCAGCAGCTCCTTTGACGGCTGCGGGAAGTCACCGCGCAGCGCGCGGAGGGAAGAAACCCAGGATACCCTGACGAAAAGCATATGGTTTCCTGATGCGCGCCCCCACTGTATGCAGAAAACTCTGTCCCTGGACCCCTTTCCAGAGTCCAGCCCCGGCCCGTGCTCCCCCCACAGGCTCGCTCTTGCGGACGCCTCGAGACGGGCCCGAAAGAGAGTCGAAACGGGCGAGAACGGTTCCGAACTCCTGCGCCGTCGTCCGCCGTCAGCGGTCGTCGTGCGTCCGCATCCTTCCTTGGTGACGTCATAGTAGTCGTCCTTCGCCGCCGCCGCCGCTGCCGCCGCCGCCGTCGTCGGTCGTTGCCAACGCCGCCGCCGCCGCCACCGCCGCCGTCGTCGTCGTCGTCGTCGTCGTCGTCGCCGACGCCGCCGCCGCCGCCGCCGCCTCCGCTGTCGTCGTCGTCGTCGTCGTTGCCGCTGCCGCCACCGCCGCCGCCGCCGGCATCGCGGCGGGAGCGGCGGCGGCGGCCCCGCCTCGGCGGCGCCGAACCGCACGGCGCGCTGCGGCGGAGGGGCGGCGTCGGCAGGAGTCCTCCTCGTCCTCCACCTGCACATCCTCATACTCCATCTAATCCACCATCCTCCACCCTCCTCCCTCCTCCTCCTCCTCCTCCTCCTCTCCTCCTCCTCCTCCTCCTCCTCCTCCTCCTCCTCCTCCTCCTCCTCCTCCTCCTCCTCCTCCTCCTCCTCCCCCTCCTGTTCCCCAGCCTACTCCGCATCCTCGTCCCCCGCCCACAATCGTCGCCGTGGTCCTCATCGTCTTATTCATCCAATCGGCAGGCTGAGCGTTCCCGCGTCGTGACTGACGCCCCTGCCTGAGGGCGAACGATGCGGGCAGGAGAGCCCGGAATCGAATCGCTAAGTCGGACCCGCGATCGAAATGCATCGGATCGGCGGAAATAGGCAACCAAGTCGGGAGAAGCTGGATCGGCGGAAATCTGCAGGCTGGTAAGGCCCCCGTTGAGAAATCGAACTCTGAATCAGAACCCGAAGTCGAATCGGAGCCCACCGACATCGAACAGGATCGAATCAAGGGGATCGGATCGAGAGCCCTGCTGGGAGGGCTGTCTCAGAGGGGGGGGGAGTCACTGACCTGGAGTCGCCGATGCAGCGCCGACGGGCTGGCGACGGACTCTCGAGGGCGAGACCGCACGCCCGTGGGCAGGCTGGGGCACCAAGGCCTCGATCGGCGAGGAGTGGCCGACCGGGGTCGATGCCTTCCCCCCCTGGCGCCTGGGCTCCTCCTCCTCGTCCTCGTCCTCCTCCTCCTCCTCCTCCTCCTCCTCCTCCTCCTCCTCCTCCTCCTCCTCCTCCTCCTCCTCCTCCCTCCTCCTCCTCCTCCTCCTCCTCCTCCTCCTCCTCCTCCTCCTCGTCCTCCTCCTCGCACCCGCACCCTGCAACCCAACGTCAGGAACAGTCGGCGGCACCCCAACACACTGATGCTTTGTGTGCGTCGCCCCCCCTGCTGGCGCCCCCGACTACCCGCCTCACCCATCACGATGCGTCGAATTCCGTGTCTGTCCGCCGACCACGGTGTCCTAAGAGGGCCCCGGTCCCTCGACGGCAGCTGCAGGAGTTGGCCCGTCGGGTGCTGCTTCCACAGCGGCTGGGGGAACGCGTAGTCAGATAGCTTGGCCGCACTGCCAGATGCTGGCGCACCGCATGCCCAGATCGGCACTTCCAGAACGGCCAGGGCGGGGCGGTGACTTGACGTAGGCGTCTCCGGTCTCCAGTGAGTGAGGCGCACGCTGACTCTCGGGTGTTGCTAGAAGTGCCCCTGGCCCAAGGTGCCCCCAGTTTTTCGCTCCATTTGAGAGCCCCTGGGGCCCTCTGGGCCTCGTGAGGGGTGCTCTGGAGGCCGTCTGGGCCACCACCCCGAGAATCCTGGGGGCACCTTGGGCCAAGGGTACTTCTAGCAACACCCGAAAGTTGGACTCAAGATCCGTGGATCTGGCGCGTGGGCGCCAGGTCCACGGATCGAGGAGGGCAACCCCCCAAAAATACGGCCAGTGCCACCTGATTTGGCCACGGATCGCGCCAGCCCTGCACGGAAGCGGGACCCGTCGCTAAGCCACTCGCCTCCATCCGTTGTTGCGCGTCCTCAGAATGGCTGGCGTCCTCCAAGGTGGGAGTCTCCCCAGTCGTCACAGAAGCTGCTGTCTGTCCCCATGGCGCGCCTGGCCCAATCACGTGCAAAGCAGACATAACGCATCTGCCTCACATGGCGATCTTGGACGCCACTGGTCGCTAGTGGACGCTCTTCGAGCGTCATTCGGCGGTACCGGGCACTGTTGGGCGCTAATTGACGCGATTCAGCGCTATCGGGCGCGATTGGCCGATATACATTCAATCCAAAACAAACCCGCTTTATGCTATTCGCGACAACGCCCGTCACCGGCCCTGCCCCTCACCTCCCTTTCCCTGGTCACGTCACGATTCGCGCCGGCGCCGTCTGGGAATCAACCATTCCTAAGCCTTCTCAGTCAGCGCCGCCTCGAATCGCGACGTGACCGGCCCCTCCCCCCCCACCCCTGGTCACCCCCACTGTCGCAAGGAGATGGAAAAAGTGTTCCTGTTGTTATCTTATCTGACCCCCCCCCCGATCAGGTAATTATTTGTTGTTCGGTGGAGGTTCCAGGTTTGGGCTAATGCTGAGTCGATATGCTTCTACCAGTCGCGCAAGCAGACTGGGGGGAGGGGCCCTGACCAGCCGCCCAAAGCAGCCAAGTTCTTGTGTATGGTGGGGGGAGGGGGGGAGGCGGGGGCCCGCGCCGATCGACGAAACTATACACAGAGCAACGGTGGTTCGTGCTCCTGGGGACTCTTGCACTCTTGGCCGGCTGGGGACGGGACTGGGAACGGTGACTCGTGAGCTTGCGCTCCTGCCTGGGCGCCGATACCTGTGGTGCGATGCCTCCTTCTGCACCGCTGCCCTGCAAGCTGCACCGGCCTGTCTGGCGCTGCACTCGGGCTGGGCGAGAGGGGGGGATGGCAAAAAGGGGGGGTCTGAGCATCAGCTCACGTACGCCTGACTTTCCCGGCGCCCGCCGGCGCCGGAGGCGCCCGTGTGTATCGAGGAGTGGGCCCGGCGGCGGGGCCGAAACCAGCTGCATGCAGCAGATCTCGTGAGCTCCCCCCCTTTCCCTATCATCCCCCCCTTTCGCTCGGCCCGGTGCGTGGCCGCGCCGCGGCGCGGCGCAGCGCGGCGTGGGGCCTGCTTGCCGCCCTCGCCCTCCAGCTCCAGGCCGGGCGGCGGCCGCTCCGTCGGCGACTGGGGCGTCACGGGGGCGCCGCGGCTCGCGACGGTGCCGGCACCGGAGAGCACGCGCGCGAGCGAAGGACCACCGCTGCAGGCGTAGAAGCGCCCAGGGAGGCACGCGTGGCTGGGCACGAGTTCCCGGATTCCCCAGATGCGTTCACAATTCTCTGGATTGGCGTCCTCCCCTCCATGTCCCGTACTTTCTGGCATCGTCCCTGAGATCGCCGTTCGTTTGTGCCTGTGTCTATGTCTCCCTCCTGAAGACACGCGTCCGGGCCTGGCTCGGATCAGGTGGATGAGGCCGTGGCCTCAGGTCGGCGGCGAGCGAGGGGAGGAAGCGAGAAGGAGAAGTCCTTTTCAGAGGGCGGCGTGGCTTCTCAGAAGCCCTCCAGCCTTCTGAGAAGCTTCCGCGTCTTCGGGGAAGGCTCAGCAAACTGCCGAGAAGGCCAGGGGGCTTCCGAGCTTCCTGAGAAGGCCTTCTCCTTCTCACCTCCTCGGCGGTGGACAAACCTCCCGTTAGCAAACCTCCCTTGAGTGAAATCGGCCTGGGACCGAAACCGACAGGCCTGGACCCGCAAAAAGAACGGCCGCGACGCCCCCTCGCGAACCGAAAACGGCCGATTCGCTCATCGACGTGCCGGGGCAGGAGGCCTGTCCACCCCCGAAGCCTCCCCCCCCGAGGCTCGCCGCCGATGGCCTGCACCGGAGGGAGGCAGAGAGACAGTGCCATCGAAGCACGGCCGCAGCAGCGTGGGCCAAGGGTTAAGTCGGGCGCGTCCCCCTACAGGGGGTCCTGGACGAGAAATGAAGCATACCCAGAAAGAAACACGGGAAAATGAAGAATACCAAGAAAAAGTAAGAATGCCCAGGAAACAAACACGACAAAAAATTAATAACACCCAGGAAAAAATGCGGGCGAGGGGGAGCAGAGACATGCGGGCAGTGTCTTTATCCACGTCCAGTGCGTCTTGGAGTTTCGGACACTCTTCCCAAGAAACATGAGGCGCACTGGATATGGATTCAAATCTGCCTCCACAAGGCTCAATTTTTATCCATATCCAGTGCGCCTCGGCCTTGCGGCGCCCCTTCCAAGCAAGTCCAAGACGCACTGGATATGGATATAAATATTGCCCGCAGAGGCAGCGCCATGGAAGCACGGCCGCCGCAGCGCGGCCGTGCTTCCATGAGGGGGTAGGGGGAGGGGTAAACCCCTCCCCGAAGGGGAAGAGGGAGGGGTGGAAGAGGAAACGCCCTACACCACCGACGCCCAGAGGGCTGGTGGGATTCACACGGGGAGCGGGAAAATTAATAACACCCAGAAACAAATGCGAGCGAGGGGGGAGCAGGGACAGTGCCATGGAAGCACGGCCGCCGCATGCGCGGGCCGAGGGCCGAGGGCCCCCCCCGCCGAGGGCCCCCCAAAGGGCCCCCCGGCGGCGGTCGTCCTCGCCCGGAGCGGAGGGCGGCGACCCCGAGCCACCCAGGGGAGCGGCGAGGGCCCCCCCCCCTGTCTGTGACTGCCCACCAGACCCCCCCAAACCCAACCCGAAGACCCCAATTTCGGAGGAGGGGGAGGAGGAGGAGGAGGAGGAGGAGGAGGAGGAGGAGGAGGAGGAGGAGGAGGAGGAGGAGGAGGAGGAGGAGGAGGAGGAGGAGGAGGAGGAGGAGGGAGGAGGAGGAGGAGGAGGAGGAGGAGGAGGAGGAGGGGGAGGGGGCGGGGGGGAGGGGGGGGGGAGGGCGGGCAGGGGGGGGTACGGGTTCCATGTGTGTTTGTTCAATGTTCCCCGATCCCCCCCCCCAACTGGAAATGGAAGGCAAATGGAGGCCTTCGGGTTGGATTGGGGTGGTTTGGTGGGTGGTGACCTTCCGGGTCGGCGGTGAGCGGAGGGGGGGGAAGCGGGGAGGAGTCCAGAGGCAACTACTGGGATTTTTTCTCGTCCAGAGTGGGCCTCGGATGGAGCCGGATCGCTACGGGATTGTCGGAAGCTGGGCGAGGGCTGGCAAATCCGTGGCTGCTAGAACGGCCTTCCCGGAACAAAAAGACAAACTCCCGGAATAAAGCTCAACGCGCCAAATGGTAAACGGGCTGCTTCCTGGAAAGAAAAATCAATTTCCCGGAGCTCCGTTTTAACAGCCAAGGGTTTGCCAGCCTTCGCCCGGCTTCTGATATTAAGCGGGATTAAGCCGGATTAAGCGGGATTAAGCGGGATTCAGTCGGATTTCGGACCAGGGCAAAATCAGAATTTGACCTCCCAGGAGTTGCATCCGAAAAGGAGGAAGCCCTCTCAGAAGGCGGCGGAGCTTCTCAGAAGCCCTCGCACCTTCCGATAGGTTTTTTCTTTCTGACGCCGGGGCTGGGGGACCTCCGAGCCTTCGCAGAAGGCTGGGGGACTTGCGAGCCTTCTGGGAAGGCTCGCCCCTTCTCAACAACTAAACCATATGAATACACCTCTCCTCTCTCCCCTGGTGGCGTCCGGGAGATGGCCGGCCCCCCTCCGCGTACTGCTTCTTCTACACACAAGATTTCCCGGAAACAGGTTGTCGCTTGGGCTTTTTGTTCGAAATGCTGCTCTCGCTGAAGCGCTGGCCTCACTTTCGGGCTACCGCTCGTTCCGCATCGTGCTCCCGCTGCAGCGCTGGCCTCATTTCCGCGCTTCCGTTCGTTCCGAATCGTGCTCCCGCTGCAGCGCTGGCGTCATTACTTCCAGCGCCATGCCACGGCATGGTTTTCGGCCCTTCCAGATACTCCCAAAAATTCACAAACAAAAAAGAAATGCCTCCCCGAAAAAAACATCGGAAGTGATAACACATTCGGTGTCGATTCGCTGAGTTTTTTGGGCCGCGGAACCACCCCCCAACTCTGGGGCGCCGCCACGCCATGCTATGTCAGGCTACGCGTCATCATTTCCGCGTTTGCGCGCTTGTTTTTTTCAAAATGCTGCTCTCGCTGAAGCGCTGGCCTCACTTTCGGACTACCGCTCGTTCCGCATCGTGTTCCCGCTGCAGCGCTGGCCTCATTTCCGCGCTTCCGTTCGTTCCGAATCGTGCTCCCGCTGCAGCGCTGGCGTCATTATTTCCAGCGCCATGCCACGGCAAATGGCTCGCAAATCTAGCAAATGCCCCCGGAAAAAAACATCGGAAGTGATAACACATTCGGTGCCAATTCGTTGATTTTTGGGGCCGCAGAAGCGCCCCCCCACTTTGGGGCGTCGCCACGCCATGCTATGTCAGGCTACGCGTCCTCATTCCGCGCTTCTGCGCTTGGGTTCTTTGTTTTTTAAATGCTGCTCTCGCTGAAACGCTGGCCTCACTTTCGGACTACCGCTCGTTCCGAATCGTGCTCCCGCTGCAGCGCTGGCGTCATTACGTCCAGTGCCATGCCACGGCATGGTTTTCGGTCCTTCCAAATAGTCCCCCAAATCTAAAAAAACATGGCCTCCCGAAGAAACCATCGGACGTGATTACACATTCGGTGCCGATTCGTTGATTTGTTGCGCCGCAGAAGCCCCCCCCCTGATTTTGGGCGTCGCCACGCCATGCTATGTCATGCTACGCGTGAATCTTCAACACCACGCTATGCCGCTATGCCATTATGCCATGTAATGCTACGCTATGCTACGACATCCGATTGTGCGAACAGGAAGGGGATCTGCGCCGTGGTTAGGGATGGGAGGACAGGGATAGGACGTCAGATATGACGCGAGCGCACCTCGCTTGCCTCTCCCCCTCGCTCGCCACCGATCCAGTGCTGAGCTTGCTCCTGACCCTCGTGCCAGCTGTTTCAATGACGCGCCGGCATGGGGACCTGGGGGGAGGGCTTGAAGGGGCCCCAGGACACACAAATAAATACACACAGATAAGAAGATGCCCCATAGTTTCCCATATTTGATGTGTTTTTGTCTTCCCCACCACTTCCCATCGTTTCCCATATTTGCTTGGGAGTCGACGATGAATCATGTCTGTGTGTTTCTTCCCCTCCTGATGGGCGGGGGCCGGCGCAGGCGGGGAAGCAGATATATCTCTGGCATCGGCGAGGCCTCGCCGACAGCTCGGCGACGGGCCAGCGGCTCTGCGAAGCCGCGCGCTCCTGGGCGGGGTGGGCCGTCCTGCCCCCGTGGGCGAGATCGGTGGGCGAGTGGGGCTCGATGCGTCCCCCTCTCGAGCCCACGCCCCTCCCCCTCGCGCGGCCCCTGGAGGAACCCATCTTGACCCCGTTGGCGAAATCGGTGGGCGAGTGGGGTGTGGTGCGTCCCCCTCTTGAGCCTACACGCCCCCCCCCCCTCGTGCGGCCCCCGAGGAACCCACGAGCGTGTTGCCGACGACGAGACGCCAGGCCTTCGGGCAAGGACGGGGTGGGTAACACGCTGGCGCGCTCCCAAACGGCTTGGCGTCATCGATACGGCAGATGTTGATCCACGAGAGACCCACCGCAAGAAGGCCAACCCTGAAACCCGCCGAGGTTCCTTGGTCCAGGGTCTGAGTTCTTATTGCCCCTCTACAGCAAGCGAAAAACCCTGGGTGCCCTGCCCCGAGAGGTCTCTTGATAGCCTGCCTGACGCAAGTCGGCATCAGGAGGCCCAACGCGCCGACGCCCAAGAAACCCGGGGTGTCCTGCCACTTTTGGAGTTTCTCCGAGATGTCTACCGCCACCCGCGTCGAACGCAGGGCAGAGAAACTCAAGGCACCCTGACGAAACACAGGATGTGTCTTGCCATTCGGTCCAACTGTACACCCTGCGAAATGCTTAAGAGATGGGTTAAGAAATTCGTAGTCTCAGAACTTGAATAAAGACCCAACATTTCTATTAAAATCTTAGGGTTCACATTGAAGCATTAAGAATAATCGAGACTCTCGCCGAAAACCTAAGTTTTCTTAAGCATCGCCTAAGGTGTACTCGTTTCCCCTACCGGGGCACCGGAGGGCGAGGGGCGTCCGCTTTGTGCTGCACTCCTCGTGGGACCTCCCCTTTGTCCTGCCACTTTTGGAGTTTCTCCGAGATGTCTACCGCCACC